CGGCTTAATAGGCTTGAGCCCGTGGTAATAAGTGACTAGTGCGAGACGGAGGAAGTGGAGGCCGGGAGGCAGGGGGCCCCCACGGAGACTGTGTGGGTGACGTGCCCTCCGTCATGCTCAGCCCCATGAGAACGTCATTCTTGAAGCATCGGAGCCCACTCAGCTGTAGCTAACTCAACACCAAATGTTCCCCTCGCCTGGCTCCTTCCGAGAGGCGGGCCGTGAGGAACGGCTGTTCCCGTGATGCTATCTGGCCTCTCCGACGTCAGAGCGCTTTTTCCTCCGAGCAAACGCCCCAATTGTTTTTTCCAGCTTGGGCAGGGATTTTTTTTTTTTTTTTGAGAAAGCTGTTTCCAAATCCCTTTTCTGTTTATTGTTTTAGACCTGGAGGGCAGCGTGAAGGGCTCATGGCCTCTGCCTGCTCGTCTCCGGGAATCTATTTTCATAAACATCTTTTGCAACCTTGCAGGATACCCCCCACCCTATCCTATTCCCCTTCTCATCCCTTCTCCCCATCCCCCACCCTCAAAAAAAAAAACCCAGGCCAGATAGTACAGTGGGTAGGGTGATTGCTTCGCACACCACCAACGGGGTTCCCCGGCACTGCCAGGGGTGACCCCTGAGTACAGAGCCAGGAGTAACCCCTAAGCACCTCCGGGTGTGGCCCCAAAATTAAAAAAAATAATAATAATTAGAAAACCCATACCAAAAAAATCACAAACAACAATAACAACAAAACCCAAAGAATGAACAGACCCTAGGATTGTCATCAAACCTTGCTAAATAAAATGAAATCCGGGCAAGCGAGCCCCGCCCCAGATTGGAAGAGAGATGCTTTGAGAGTCGCCACCCCCCTCCCCCCAGCCTCTGCCAATAAACTTGTGGCCTCATTTCCAAGGGCCTTGCTGTTCGAGTTTCCATTTCCTCAGGAAGCTTCGTTTCTTCTCGCTCTTATTTCTGGACCGTGCATTTGAGTTGGCGCAAGTCCAGGGGCAAGGCCTGGGGCCACGGAGCAAACAGTGCCCAGCGGGTCTCGGCGGCTCAGGGTCCCCGTCCGTGGTGCTGGGTGGACACTGGAACTCCTGGCCAGGCCCGATGTGAACCCCATGTGCAAGGCAGAGCCCGGGGCGGTTTCCTGCGCCCCTCGTGTCACTGCAGAGGAAACTGATGGCGTTGGTTTCTCTGCACTGTGAACCTCAGGCCGGGTCTCGGCCCTCTGAGGTCTGTTGTATCTCAAAGGTGCCGACTGTGGGCTCCTGACCTCGGCCCCGTGCTGCAGGCTTCTCTCTCGGTGACAGAAGGGGGGGAGGCTGGACATGAGTGGGAGAGGGGCCAGGGCCCAGCCTGTGCCCTTGAAGGAGACACATCTGGAAGCCGGGGTCCTGCCCACCTCTGTTGACCCCCCTTCACCCACACCCACACCCACACACACACCAGTTTTCTCGGAGATCCAGGTGCTCACCAATACAGCTAGGGGACAAACATGTCGTCCATGGGGTTCCTGACTCTGGGCTGAGGGGGTGTCGAGGTCAGGGGCTCATGAGCCCCTGCAGGGATGCCCAGGGGGTGAGTAGCCTTGGGAGGACGTGCCCTGTGTTGGTTGGTGCTGGGTCAGTGGCGATGGTTTCCCCCCTGCCTGCCCTTCAGGAAGGTGTGGGCAGGGGTGCCTAGGCTTGCATGCGTGTGTATGTCAATTCACATCACCAGCTGGCAAGGTTAAGCTTGCATAATGGAACCTTCTAGAACCTTCTGGAACCTTCCCACTTTCAAACCCCTTCCTCTGGAGCAGGCTTCAGTCGGCCACTTCCTAGATCATGGGTGAGGCCAAGGCTGAGGGTCCCATGGCCAAACCACAGCCCATTCTTGGGCTGGTTGACTCGAAGCCTGTGACTGGTAATGAATTTGTTGGTGAGTAGAACGGAGAAGGTGTCCTCTGGATGCAGACCTCTGAGCATTCTCGAGAAGAGACTCAGCAGCTGGAAGTTTCCTTCAGGGAGGAAATGACCAAAGGGCTGAGCCCTCAGGGCAAAGGGGGTGCATGAAGGAAGTTGGCACCGCACGAGTTGGGGGCCCCTCGGTCTCACTGAGGCAATTTGACTGAGAGAACAATCTGGGATGCAGAGAAATCAGAGATTTCATGCTCTAGGGGAGTGTGTGTGTGTGTGTGTGTGTGTGTGTGGCATATGTACTGTGTGTATAGTGTGTGTATGTGCATAGTATGTATGTAGTGTACTGCTGTGCAAAGTGTCTTGTGTGTTGTATAGTATATGTAGCATGTGTATGTGGGCAGTTTATGTAGCATGTGGTAGTGTGTATATAGTATGTGTGGTGTTTTAGTGTGCCTCTGTATGTAGTGTATACTATGTGTTATGTGTAGTTTGTGGTATTTATGTGTATGTAGTATGTGTGTGTGGTACTTAGGTGTAAGTGGTATGTGTCTGTGTGGTCTTATGTGGCTGTGGTTTGCGTAGTGTGTGGTATTTATGTGTACATGGTGTTG